AACAAACAGAGATACTTCGGAAAAATTCTCCCCCACACGATGATCAAGCTCAGGTCTTCTGAATGCGATGGTGAAGCCTCAAACTGTTACAATGTCAGTTTTTCTATTGTTTATCAGTGTGGAAGAAATAAAGAAAATAAGATAAAATAAAAAATGTCAAAATCTGTTTGGATACAGAGCAATTATTTCGACAGCTATACCTTTAATAATATTGGGTGTGTGATCTTTGATCAATGTTATGTTTCGCATCTTTAAATGTACATATATAATGTTTTACTTCTGGGCCTCTGTCAATACACTCATGTGCGCCTACTTACTTACTCCCTTCCCCCCCTCCCTCCCTCCCTCCCTCACTTATTCACTTACTCATTCACTCACTCACTGACTCACTGACCCAGTTACACATTCACTCACTCACCCATTCATTCACAAACTCATTAACTCAATCACTTTCACACTTACTTGGGCATACATTCACAATCACTCCTGCATATAATATCACACTACTGATGATGATGATGATGACGATGATGCTGATAATGATGACGATGATGATGATGATGATATAGATGACGGTGTGGTGATGATCATAACGGAATCAATATGTTTTTAAATTTAAAAAACTGTACTCTTCTTACTTTCAAAAAGTAATTGTTGGTTTTTCGTTTCTGTAATAGATCATGCAGCAATGAGAGTGAAAAAAAATACATTTAGCACACTGTCCCAACTGAGATGAACTGCTACAAAATATTCAAAGTTGCATGTCGAAAACAAATAATGTTTGTGTCTTCTCAAAATATACTGACAGCGTACATAGCCCCGACATATTTTCCCAGAAGCTGTGAATATTTCATAGTGGATTATATACAACAAATTTGTTTTGTTCGTTCACGTCCGCTGACTTCCACAGGAAGACATCCTTTTTGTTCTTCATCATAAATAAAAGATGAGCCGGCAACTACATCCCTGAGCCAACAGACCATCTGACCAGAAGCTGGTTTGGACTTTGCTAAGGGTCTATCAACTAAACGGAAAGGGAAAAAATCAGGTTCCACGTTTCTTTGTCGAAGGTAATCATGTTTACCTTGCTGAAAAA